CATAGACCACAAGATCAGATGTCTCTGTTGGATGCCATGAATGCTGCATGTGAGGACATCACAGCTGATCATTGCAGGGGATGGGTGTGGCATTCAAGGAGATTTTTTTTCCCCGGTGCATGGCAATGGAAAACATCAGATGTGATGTTGATGAAAATCTTTGGCCTGACCAACAAGAGCGACAGGATGTCCACCAAGAATAATTTTTGAAGTATTCAAAATAAGTATTTTTGTGTATTTGTGGTAACATAAGAAATATGAAATGTACAGTAATTGGACAAGCAAGATTTCACTTATATGTAATGCATTCGTACAAAAATAAATGTACTGTATAAATACAAATGTTCATATACTTTTTTTTTTCTTCTATGTACTATTGACTCTTCTCAGCAAATATCAGATTTTTTTATAAAACCTTAATTTCCATGGTTGACTGTCATGGTGAAAAAACAACTAAACATTTTGACCAGTGTGGCTCACACGATGACAAAAATACTATATATAAAATATATATAAATATATTTTGGTGGCCATGGCCAAATTACTGACACGATAACTAGGTTTTGAAACCTGAATGAAATGTTTTGGGTGAGTAACTACATTTTGCAGACATGCAATAAAGTTCTGAAGTTCCAGCAAACAGTTGTGGCATTTGCACTCACAGTTTAGAGAATGTTAAGATTGTTTCGAAAAATGTGCCAAAGCAATTGAGAAAAACTGTAAAAATAATGGTCTGATGTAAATGGTTAGAATAAGAAATCATTGTGATAAAATTTTAAATATGAAATATTGTTCTTGGCACAAATCACAATAATATTTGCAATTATACATGCTGAATAAGACAGCCATGTATGAATATATATATACATATACACAGACAGATAGATAGATAGACAGAGATAATTTCACAGCTCTGCAGTAATCTATTCAAATTAAATAATTCAGTAAATAAATAGCATTCTTAGTAAAGTATTAGCATAAATGACAAAGTTTCCCAAGAATATGCTGTATTCATTGTCTGTGCTAACATTTCCTGTTGTTTAATAAATGAGGGTACACTGAGTTGGTGTCACACCATATATAATAAGACAGAAAAAACTTCACAATTCATTGGTCACAGAGGCTGTATCACCTGAAATCTTATTATTAATATTTAGACTAAAATATACACACTAGAATACACAAGCTCCATATAGCACGCACACCCGCTGAGCTTCTAGACGAAAGTGACAAGGAAACGCAACGCAATTACAAGCAAGCACACAGACTCAAATTACACATTCAGCAGCATCGAGCAGGGTGAAATACCAGACTCTGTGTGTACATCACACACAACTTTGTAAATTACAAGTGACAGAAACTGTGCGATGTTCTCACTTAATCTGGCTGGCACACACACACACACAGATCAAAGCTCTGTTGGGTATTACTCTACTGCTGTGCTATGGGTTGGTAGTCGTCCTATTAAAATAGAAATCCAGAAATCCACTTGTGAAGACAACTGAGTGCACAGATCAATCTTTAGGACGAACATTTACAGTGTTTAGAGACCTGAACAAACCCCTAACCACAAGTATTAAATACTGCCGTAATACTACCATATGTGTTACAAGCATGAATACTGTCATCTTGTCGAGGAGAGGTGCGTTATTGCTTTTCAAACTGATCATACTTATGACTTTTGACTTGTAGGTGAAAAAAAAATCCACAGATTTATATTGAAGGAGAGACTGAGATCTAGAGTCCAGAATATCATAGAGACTTGGGACTTTTGACTTATAAACACCACACAGAACATTGTGACATATTTGTGGAAACGCCATCAGTGTTTTCAACTGACCAGTGAACACTTGGAGCGGCATTACATCAGTCTGATTGTGTGTATTAACAGTTCAGGTTGTCTCATCCTGTTGAACTGGGCAGTGTTTGGCCAGAAAAACCTGACCAGACCTGGCCAGAAAGTGGACCAGACTTCATACTGATAGTTTGACAAGTCTTCTTAACTACACGAGACCCCACAGACATTCTGCTATTCACAGATGAGCTCTTGGCCTCATTGTGAGTTTAATTGAAAACGGATGTTTCAGGTTGAGTGATCAGCTGATCTTGACACTCAAGCAGAGCACAGGGCACAGAGTTGAACTACATACAATGTTATTGCATAAAAATCCCCCATTCCCCTTTCACGTCACCCAAACTGTTACTGGTCTGTGGGGTCAACTGAGGATTTTAGAAAGTAGTCAGTTGACATGCAAGAAAAATCACACACTCTGGCAACAA